TGCGTCCACTTTGTCGACGCAAAAAGGTACTGGGTGCGAAAAATAAAAAGAACCTTTAGCCTCAACATGTCGACGCTAAAAGTGCTTCATTTTCCAAAAAAAAAATAAAAAAAAATAACTGTTGTGGTTTTCCAATCAAATACTAACTACAAGCTTTATTAACATTTATAAGAATCATAAAATACAAATCCATATCCATTATTCTGGATTTCTGGCTATACAAATCCAGGTAAAACTTCTCTGTCACTTGCAGAATGAGAGTGCAAGTTATTAGAACACCACGAAACCAAGGTAAAACTCTCACTTTCGTTTACAGTAAGCTAACATGAGCAATTCTGTCACAATATCATCTAACAAATCCATCAATGGCATATTCTCTCAACTCTTGCCAAACCCCACATCATCTCATCCTGACCAGCAAAGTTCAGAGCCAATTTCACTTGATCTATCTCTCAGCTTCAAGCCTACAGCCAGCCATTATGAAGGAAAAGTTGCAGACACCCAAACAGAAGGGTCAGCCTCTTCAAGAGCTTATACGTGCAATTTCTGCCACCGAAAATTCTGCAGCTCACAGGCTCTTAAGGGTCACCAGAACGCCCATAAGAGGGAACGGTTTATCGCAAAACGAGCAACCACAAGGGTTTTGTTCTCCGCTCCTCTGCCTAGACAGTCTAACAATAATAGATGGGGTCGTTTTGTTATTGCTGGATATGCAGAGAACAATAAAGATATAAGGACTGCATTTCCGAGGAAGGTTGATCATATCGTGTATACTTTGTTCTGCCGTTCTGAAGATAACATTGAAACATTATTTATTTCTATGTTTAATTTAGTAAAGAAAAAAACATTAACTAATACAGCATACAGTGTATACTTACTTCTGTTGTTCTTCATCTCCCAGTTCCTTTCCTTCCCTTTGGTTTCCAGACCCCCTTCATTCTTCTCTTCCCTTCCCGGATCCTTTTCCCCTATCAGCCTATTTCCTTCCTTCCCTCCCAGTATATAAAATTCTGGATTTTTAAGCCAACTAGTCAAGACATACACATATATATCAACATAATAATGAAAAACATACTCAGCTCCTACCATCCTGATATCAGTTGGATGCTATAATTTATTTCTGAACAGAAGATTAAAGATGAAACTGAACTTTACTATAACAATATCACCTACACATATTGGAATATACCAATATCGAGCAGAAGCTCTCACACTCTTTGTTTTGGTTGATTTTAGCATCCAAGTTCCTGTAATATGCAAAACACATTAATTAGCTAAATTATCTGGTTAACATATACTTCAAATAAAATACGTTCATCATTTATAAAATATTCTTATGAAGGCAAGTACCATATGTCCTTCCAACAATATATTGAATCCATTAACTCATGAAGACATTGTATGTATTGTCTTTACAAATGATCACTTATCATTTGATTCTGAAATTTGAGTACTTCTCTTGAAATCTCAAATAAAACAAATTTAAACAGTTAACAAACATTAACAAGTTATATTAAGTACTTATAATAAAAATAACTGAAGTAAATCTTACATTTACCTCATTCGATCTAGAAACGGATCTGTCAGATTTGCTCATGAATCATGATGCTGCAATCAAGTCAAATTAAACCTCAAAATTATCATCTAAGTTTAAGTTAACATAACCAATTAAGTTGATTAATACCTGCTTCAAGACAGCATCTACAGACTTGCTAATATGTATGGCCTGAAACAAAAACAATATTTTTTTTAAACCAGCATTGTTTAAAATGTAAGATATCAAAGTAGGAATGCTTGTTAATATAATATAATACGGATAATAAAGGTGTAGTACATTCAAGTAATCTGCCAATAGATAATTCTTACAGGAACATAACAAAATAAAATAAAAGCATACCAAACAGGAACTCAAATAGTAACAAAACAATCCTGAAATCCTCAAATAAAAAAAAATCTAAATAGGGAAGGAATCTGAATAGTCAAATACATTACCGGAAATCTGAGGTCTGTAGCAATAGTGGTCGCCATCGCCGTCGCGTGTGAGATGTCTTCCCGGTCTTCCAGGACGATTAATTGGTTCGCGGAGTAACTCGTCGGAAACAGAAAACAAACTGAAACTTCTGGGATACCAGAATGAAAGATCAAAGGCTAAAGAATTAGCCTAAAGAAATAGAAATCACCTAAGCGAAAAAGGACTTTCCAGGAATATATAGATGGAAGAGCCCAGATAGAAAGCAAAAGGGGTACCTAAAATGGCCACTTTCAGTGTGAAAGGGATCGGCAGACTTGACAGCGGAAGTAGTACGAGTACTAGCTTAAATTGCGCATCATAATGTCAAGTTGAAACACTAAAACCAGATTTCCAAAATGGAATACATTCAGTGTGTTCATTCTCTCTTTTTTAAATAAAAAATTAGTTTATCACTCCATTAAGAAACTACCTTCATAGAATACCTTTACGTATTCTTGTATCTTTCATCAAAGATGGATAGCAGTTGAAAATAATTTACTCATCTAAGATTTAATGTTAAGCGCACGAAAAGACAGAAATTACATACCCTCGGTGCAGCTTTTTTAAAATATGAGGACTATATGTAAAGTTTTACTACTGTGGCCAGTACAATGTAAAAGTAAACATCACCATACTACTGTGGTCAGTGCAATAAATCTCATTAGCATTAGTTAACTCAAAGGAGGGACTATACCTCTCTTTAGAAGTTCATTTTAATACTTTCATACTCATTTGTGATGTAAGCTAATGTGAACTATCAATTGAAAGAAAACCAAGAATTGTTATACACACACAATCATCACATACCTGCTAAAACTCTTCACCTTTGAAGTTAAATAAACAGTCAGTCTATGACTGGACAGCTCAAGAGTCTGAAATATTTTAATTGAATCAAGTATAACATTTGCTACTGCTATCGGTCCCGGACAACCACTGAAAAAATCATTATCAAAATGTTACTCGGTCATTCATTAATGTGAAAAATCAGAAAAATTAAACCAACAATGGGACTGAGCATCATAAAACAAACTGATTGCAAACTAGAATGTAAACAAAGCTTAATAGAATATGTAAGCCTATTTTGTATCAGAGATTATAAAGCCTTGTGTAGGAGGTAAGACTCAACCTGCTTTTCTATCGGATCTGTCTACTCTTGAAGCTTCAAGGAGAAACGCCTGCGGCAAAGGTCCTCTAGCGACTATCTTCTTCTGACCGTAGGATGCCCAAAATTGGCTCAAGTCGTGGACATGCTTCAGTGTATCGGTGTATTTCTCTCTTCCGGCTCGCAGGTGCGCACCAAGTGCTGCCTTTTTCGACGGAGCGACAGAGGAGTGTTGTCCGATAAGCTGAGTGGCGGTGTTGTTCCTGTGAGGGCCGAAGTCTATCATAAGTCGTCGATGTGCTCGGCGTTTTCCGGTGGAGGCCAGCGATGTCCTCCCAAGCTTGCCCCGCTATTGCCGATGCGGGAGGGCCGCAATAACTTAGGAGACAACCCTTCGATGAAATTCATTTCTGAAGTACAGAGTAATAGTTAGGGTAGGGTTTTCTTTAAACGATCCAGAAAACTCTAATAGCTACGGACTACGGAGCACTAAATGTTATTAGCGTCAACCTGCCCAATATATTTTCATACTTTTTTTTAGTACATTCTTTAGCATCCGCAAGTGGACGCAAAAGACAAGTTATTTGTGTCTATGTGTGTCGACGCAAAAACTTTGGACGCAAATAATGTTATTTCTTGTAGTGACAAATCATTTTACACGCCGGTTGAATTATTTGTGCATAAACAAATTTTTTTCACTTTGAGAAAAGAATCGTTTTTCATTAACCCATTATCTTTGCCAATAAATAAAATTGTCATTGCGAAAAAGGATTCTCTTCAATGGAAAAAATTGATCTATGCATAGGCAATTCAAAATTTCAAATGGCTTGTAAAATGAGGTAGTCTACCTCCCCGTGATTCCGCAATAATCTGTCTGTCTAATGTCTCTGTTTGGTTACGTTTGGGAATACATCAATCTCTGCTTTCATTGCCGGTCAATGTACGCAGCCCCACTCAAGGTTGCTTGTGTTCCCACTCAGCAATCGCCGATCACTACGGACGCTAGCTACCTCAATTCCGACCCCGCTTAATTATAAATACCACCGACTGATCGATAAAGAGGAATTGAGTATATATTAAGCCGATCGAGCAGACGGAACCTAGCTTGTTCCGGCCTCCCTAGCTTTAAATTATCATGGCGCCCCTTTTCTCCTTGCCCGCCATTATCATCCTATCGCTATTCCTCGCCCTCTCCTCTGCTTCGACGAGCCAACTGCCGCCCTCCGCCGTTAATGCCTGCAAGGTCTCGAGCGACCCACCGACTTACGAGTCCGAACTGGCTACCTCCGGCCTGAAGACCTCTTCTGACCCGACAGCGGTCCAGATCATCCACGCGGCGATGAAAGTCTCTTCCGATAAACTTGGGACTGCCAAATCCAAGGTGGAGGATATCCGGAAAAGCTCCGCGGGCAATCACAACATGACAGTCGCGGCGGACACGTGTCTCGAGCTGTACGGATACGTGGAGCACCGGGCGAAATCCGCCGGCGTGGCCCTCGACGGCGGCGAGATCAAGGACGCCCGGGCGTGGATGAGCGCCGCATTTGCGTACCAATACGACTGCTGGTCGGCGCTCAAGTACGTCAACGAATCCTCGCAGGTCAACGACACAATGGCGTACGCGTGGGCACATCTTCTGTTCACCGGCGACGTGCTGGGAATGCTGGCCAACTACGACCAGAAAGGGGGCGATACCACGTTGTGGGGCCCGACGAAAACCGAGCGCAACGGGTTCTGGGAGAAGACCGAATACGAGTCCGGGCCGGCTATCGTGGGCGGGGTTCCATCCGGGTTGACCGCGAGCGTCACGGTGTGCAAAACTAATAAGACCGTGTGCAATTACCAGAAAGTGCAGGACGCCGTGGATGCCGCTCCGACTTGGGGCCGGCAGAAGTTTGTGATACTGATAAAGGCCGGGCTCTACGAGGAGATAGTTCGGGTCCCGTTTAATAAAACGAATGTGGTGTTTGTAGGGGAAGGCATGGGCAAAACTATCATTACTGGAGACTTGAATGTGGGCATTCAACTAAAAACCACCTACCACACTGCAACTGTTGGTAAGACCATATACACTCTTCATTCTCGTTTTGGTCTCCTCCTAATTTTTCTTCGAACCCTCATCATGTCCAACCGACAAATTCACTCCAATTCTACACAAAACCTCTCTAGTTGTCTAAGTGCATAACCAATTCATTTAAAAAAGGAAAGAACTCGATGTCAAATTACCTATATACACAGGTAATGTGCACATTTTGTGTACATCTTGTGTATACAAAAATGGTCCATATTGTCAATTTGCCTGGCAAACTAGCCACTCAATTGGAAAAGCTTGTGGCTTTTTAAGGTTATTTTTGGATGACCATTTCATTCCAAAATGAGTTAGTAATTTAATAGCTCTAGACAATTAATTCATACGTAGTCTTTTATAAGTATAGGAACAACCTTTTAATAATAGAAGTAAAAACGTCTTAAAATTTAAAAATAGGATTTTATTTTTTATTCTTCAAATGAAAGTAATTTATGCCAAGATTTGAAAAAAATCGTCATGTTTAAAGCATGGTAAAGCCAAACTTGATAGAAAGTAGTACTACTTAGAGAATAAAAATATGAGTCTTATTTTGGTGTTTCAAATCTTTTTTACTCATATTTATTTAGAGAATTTTTCCTTTAAAATATCACAAGCTCAATAAGTTTTACTACTATTCTGCAACTCAAATTTTATTTTGTTTATAGTAAACCATTTATGTTCATGTTTTACATCATTGAATCATCGGTATTCCAATTGTGTGGTCAAATAAGACTATTTCATTCATTTAGCATGCCAGTCTCATCCACTTTATCCAGTTTCAAACAAAAGTTACCACTAAATTAGACAATATGCTCCACTTTAGCTCATTTTTTCAAACATGCATAGCCTCTATAAAAAGATCTAGAAGTTAAATGCGGGCTTTAAAATAGTCAAAACTTGTGACTTTTTAATAGAGAAAGGACGACATGGTAGAAATTAAATTGTTTAACTTGAAATTTTACAATTACAGCCAGGTTAATTGGGTGATTTCAAACTTGGTTAGTTAATTATTGTATTTGTTATATCTGGAATATATATGTCAAATTAAATGTGCTTATAGATATGAGTAATGTATATAAGGAGTGTGTATATATACTACTAATCTATATTTCATCCTTTTAGTAACATTCTCATTTTCACGCTTATCAATGCAATTTTGATGGTCTTTTTGTTTAATTTACTATTAGTAAAAAAAATTAAAAATCAGTTTGTTTAATTTTGAAATATATGAGATTAATTCAACAATATTTTCCAAAAAAAATAATCATCATACATTAATAAATAAAATGTAGTCACACTAATGGACAGGTGTTAATGGAGACGGATTCATGGCAAAGAACCTGACGATCAAGAACACGGCCGGCATCGGAGCTCATCAAGCAGTGGCCCTCCGGCTGGACAGTGATCATTCCATCATAGAAAGCTGCGAGTTCATCGGCAATCAAGACACTCTCTACGCCCACTCCCTTCGCCAGTACTACAAGGACTGCCACATCCAAGGCAACGTCGACTTCATCTTCGGAAACTCCGCCGCGGTCTTCCAGGACTGCACGATCTCCGTCGCACCCAGGCAACAGCACCCGGAGAAGGCGGACAAGAACACCGTGACGGCCCACGCGAAGCTCATCGCGGCTCAGACCACGGGCTTCGTCTTCCTCAACAGCATAATCAACGGGACGGAGGATTTCATGCAGTTTTATGCCAAACAGCCCGAGCAGTTCGAAGGCAGCTGCTTTCTGGGAAGGCCGTGGAAGGAGTATTCGAGGACGGTGTTTATAGACTGTACGCTGGGGGATCTTATTTCTCGGGAGGGATGGGAGATCTGGGACGCCAACTCCACGTTGAGTAACCTTTACTATGGGGAGGTGGGCAGCAAAAATGCGGCCGGAAAAACTGTTGACACGACGAAGCGTGTTCCTTGGAGTAGCCAAATCGACAGTAAAAATGTGCCGTCCTTCTATCCCCAGAATTTCATCCAAGCTAGTAAATGGTTCTCCAACTCTTAATTAGCTTCTTGATTATGATCAATTATACAATTCAAGTCCCGCCTGGGCTATATATGTACTCTTATCGTCACTTCATAACTAAAATTTCTCTTGTAATTTTCTCTTGATTACAATTTCCTCCTTTTTCTACATAATATACACTTCCCTCTTATTTAGTTGTTGTAACATTTGCATATCATGTTTTTCAAGCAACTTCGACCGTTCGTTACTATCTAATTGGGCATTAACAAAAATCATTCAAAGATTAGATGATGAAAATATATAAAAAACGAGACGTATTTTTCATAATTAATTTACATACATATGCATTTATAATTAACATTTTGTGAATCATGCAAAATTTAATAATTATTAAACAGCTCATGAGTAAATTACTTACGAAGTACTACGTATTAGATTTGCTCATTTGCCATCAACTTTAGTTGTATTACATTTTAGATTTGGCAGTACAATCATATCATACCTTTTAATTAATATATGGAGTAAAGATTAGAAACGGTGTTTATAAACATAATGCATACTAGTATGTAATACCAACGGGTACTAAAAGTTGTTTATAAAAATGTATGCTTGTGTCCCAAAAGGATGGTCTTGTATTTTCTTTTTTGGATGTCCCAAAATGATGGTCATGTTTCCCTTTTTGGTAAAGAACTAAAAGTGGATTATCATTTATGCTCCTCCTTTTCAATGAACAGTAAAAGTAAAAGGATGAACAATACAATAAAGTAAGGTTCTTTAGTCTTTCTACCACACTTTCTTAATCTTTGTGCCCAAAAGAAACAAGACCATCAAATTGAGACGGAGGAAGTAATATCTTAAGTGTAGTGAGCACACTTGTAATGTAATTATACTTATAATAATTTATGTTCAATTTCTTAAAATAAGTAATCTTCTTAGTATTGCTATTATAACTATTATTACTTTTTTTATGTTATTTTACTCGGTATAATAACCAGGGCGTATCCAACGTGGGGGCAAGGGGCAGCTTCCCCCACTCAACTTCACCCAACCCCTATATATATAATATTTTAGTTGTATATATTTGTTTCTAAAGTATATACTTCGTATATTTTAAATGTTAATAACGAGTTTTGAGTTAGTAGTCACTGTACTAGTCACCATGGTGTAGTGGAAGTGCTGATGCCTGTAGCTTTGAAATCTCCTTAAGGACCAGGGTTCAACTCTAGTTTGCTTCATTTTGAGCGTTTTTTTGTTTTTAAAATGGCTTTACATGAAAGATTAACTTTTGTCTTGTTAGAAACATTTAAACTATATCAATAATTCAATATAATCGTAATATCCAATGCCATTCACAGGGGCGGATCCAGGATTTAATGTTAGACTGGGCTGAAAATTTTAATTGATAATACATTGATTTTTTTTTCAAAACAAGCGAAAAATCAAATATAAAAGTTATCCCCTAAATTTGTTCTACACAAGGCTTTGAAACAAAAAAAACTCATCAACAATAGAGTCTACATCTATACTGAGAGTAATATATTTTTCAATGTAAAATGTCATGCAATTAGCAAGAAAACTATCATCCATTTTGTTGCAGAGTGTTGCCTTTAGAAGTTTCACGACAGAAAATGATCATTCTATCTATTGTTGCAGTAGAAACAATAAGACCAATACGAAGTGAATCAATCTAGTCATCTTAACATATGAATCAGACCTTTTGCTTTTAGTTAACTCCTCACATAATTCAAATCACGAATGTCCTGACTACTAAAATCTTCGGGATAAAACTTCCTTACAAGAGTACAAATAGCATCGGCATTGAAACGACTCATATGAATTTTTTGGATCAAATGAAACACTCAAAGAAAGGAGTTCCACTGATTTATCATTAAACCGGGTCGTTAACTCCATGAATAAAAGTATATTACCTCGTTGAAAACATCGAAGTGGTAATGATTCTCAATTGTAGCTTCTTTTCAGCAATGACAAACCATATATTTAGAAATTATAATTCAAGTCTGGTGCATGAATTTATTTTTTGAGAAAAACTCATTTACTTCTTCAAAAAAATATTCCCATCTATTTTCTATCAATTCCTAAGAATGAGTTGTGTAGTAGAAAGATGTCTCATGACTACCGAGATATTCAATAATTTTTTTTTGAAGACTTTGAGAGAGAATAGTCGTTAATCCCATAACTTTGTGCATCAAACTAAAGTAAATTGAACACAAATTCAAAACATGAAAAATGTCTATATGCACAACAAACTTCTGCCCAAGAACTCACTTTTGGGCAATTAATGTTGTTGAAGATACTCAAACACTTTACAAGTTCATGTGAACATGTTAATTAATCAAGTTCTTAATTGAATCATATTTTAAGTGCCACTTATTAAGTGGGAGGTGATGTGTATAACATTTATATTAGATTTTTAGATGGTAAGATTTTTTTATAGACTAGGTTGAAAAATTGGACTGGGCTATACAAAAACCCGGGGTGGGCTAGATGGAATTATGTCAAAATAATACCTTAAAAAAATAATTTTTTTTGCTTTACCCTGGGCTTCAGCCCACCATAGCCCTAACATAGATCCTCCCCTGGCCATTCATAAAGTTTAACAATTACATAGGTAGGTTCTTGAAAATAATATAAACTTATTATATATATTTGAATGTATACTTGTGAATTCGTATCTTAAATTAACTCAAAGTACATATATGATCATTCCCTTATTTGATTCACTTATTTATTAACATAATTTTAAACAAATCACAAACGTATCGTGCTTAAAATTTATTTCTAACAAAGTCAAATTTATTTACTATGAACTTTTAGGTATGATATTGTTATGTTTTTGCTCAGTGAATACTTTTTATTATTTAAAAGTAACTTTGCAATTTTTTTTAATGTAGTGCATGGTTTGAAATAGCGACCCGCTACCGCTATAGCGGCCGCTATATAGCCGTCGCGGTAGGGGCCGCTCGCTACCGCTACGGCCCACTATTGGTGTGTGATTTCCAAATCACAGGAAAAATCCACTACGCCGCCCGCTACAGCCCGCTATTGACATTTCTGGCAGTACATCACGAACTGTTTGATGTGTAAATGTGTAAATGTTGTGTGAATGACGTGAAAAAATACATTAATGGTGATGCATGAAGTAAAATTACAAATTAAATGTTGTGTGAATGATGTGAAAAAATACATTTATGTTTTGCGCAATTGAAAATATTTCACGCCGCTGCAACCGCTACAGTCGGCTACAGGCCACTACCGCTGCCGCTACAGCTATTTAAAACGTTGATGTAGTGAGTCCATAATGTCTTTGTGATAATATAAAAGACAAGTTCGCCCGTTCGCGAGTTTTTCTGGCTACCTCAGTAGGTACAGAAATTTGTCATTCGATGACTTGATCACCTCTCAAAATGCGCATGCATACCTTGGTTTTTATTGACATCCGCTTGTCTCTAATTAGGGAATACTACGTACTTGTCAAAACTCAAAAGTGATAATATTTGGAGAAACAATGTGTAATCTAGAAGTCGGGTGCCTGTTTTTTCTAAAGCAAAAGTACTACGTATGTTCCCCATGTTACACGACTTATTTTTTACGGAGCGAGTAAAAAGCATGGTGCTAAGTGCTAACATATTCCTTGAAGCACATTGAAAGAATGATTACCAAATAAAGATTAACTTTCCTTTTTGTTACACGACTTAGTACGGAGTATTATATACCTTTCCTCTGTTCCTTTTTAATTGCAACGATCCACTTTTCACGCTTGTCAACGCACAAGTTTGACCACTAATATCTTTGATTCCTTAGTAGTAAAAAAATTAAAAAAATCAGATTCTGAAAATTCAAAATGAGAGGAATTTAAAAATATTTTTTAAAAAATTTAATTTATAATACATTAATTAATAAAATATAGTCAATGTAGAATATGTGAATAGTGTAAAATATAGTCAATATAGAATATGATTTGATTCGGTGTGATTTAGTTCGACTTAATTTATATTAAGATTTTATTAAATTTTAGTATTTTATACTACCAAGATTTTATTAAGTTTTAATATTTTATACCACCACACGATTCAATTACTACTAAAGTGATTAAAAAGATAAAAGTTATGATTTGATCGATATTTGAGTATAATAAAGTGAGGAGATATTATCCGAAATAGGACTAAAATGTTTGAAAATTCCAAAACAGGACTGTCATGTTTTTATTCTCAAAATAGGACTAATTACCGTCATGTTTTGGCAATACCAGACTTCAAACATGGCAGTATTTTCCAAACTTAGCAGTAATTACTCATATTTTGGGAATAAAAAACATGGCACTCCTAAAGTGAAATATTGTAGATCCCATATTTTTTTCTCAAAAAGAAAATGTGACACTTTTTTGTACAACTTGAAAAGGAAAGTAAGACAAGTAAAATAAGATGGAAGGAGCAACTCATTTCAATTTTATAACTTTATTTAGTTTTTCATGGATTCATTTCAGTTTAGTCCGATAATTGGAAGAAAATACTAACAACTCAAATCTGAGTGCATATGATTCGATTTTGTCTAGTTTGATTTGATACGATTCAATCATTTATATGTATAGTTTTGCGTAGTATCTTTCAATAATTTATTTAACTGTCTTCTTAATTGAACTTTGAACTGAAATTTAATGGGCATAAATTAGACTTGATGAAGGTCATGCTAAAAAAATCACCAAAAAATTCCATTGGGAACTGTCCAAAACAGTAAATTCTGCACGGAGATTCCGATCATGAGCTCCTGACTCGAACGGAACTCTTCAATCACAATAGTAACACAAGTGATTTCCAAATTATTAAATTTATTCTTGCAAGGGTTTAATCAATAGCAATATGTCTCTTATTGCGGAGTAATGATGTTTTCTTTTGGATCGTTGTCAGTCCCAGACCAGACTAGATCACACCAGATTAGATCAGACCAGACTTAAACAAACTAGAAAAGACCAAACCAAACTTTAACGATTATAAAATATATAGAGATCAGACATTTACATGACCAGTTTAGAACAGATCAGATTAGACCTGATTTAAACAGACTAGACCAGTCCACCAGCAAATTAGTCCAACAGAAAACATCCTAATTGTCAAAAGTGATGACAATAATAGAGTTTTTTGAGGATAAAGAATACACCGTCCATGTCCTTTGATCCTTATGTCACTCGTCT